AGACGATATTATTTGTATGATAAAAATTAAATATTAAAGGAAACCACATCCTAGTATTTAAATGGGTTGATGATGTCCTCTTGAGAAAGCTTATAAGTTTTGTCCATGTTAAATCTTATAGGTAGATTTAATTATTTGACATGATAAATAAGTTGAGTGGTAAGGACTCAAGGAATAAAAGAAGTCAATTAAATATAATTGTCAGTGATTTATTTAATTAATGAATATATATTTTTAAACATGGGGAGATTATTAAGTATATAATAATAAGGAGTTCGAATATAATTTTGAGATAAGGCCCAGGAGATCAATAATAAGCCTTTAATGGACTGACTTATTATTAATGGGCTGTAAGATGTTTGTTCTGAGTTGAACATAGGAATTCTAAGTCCATTGGGAGCCCGGTCCTTATTTCTTCTTAAGGTTTCTATCGTAGCCTATATATAAATGTCTAGAGTCTCTAATTCAGCATTATATCTTTGCTCACGTTTTTTAGAGAGACAGAAAGAGAGAGCAAGGCTTCAGAGGTCTTGGTTGCCCACACTGCATCCGAATTCTGATGTTGGGGGTTATACGACAGAAGACCGTGAGGTTCGTCGAGCTGTATTCGTTATTCTGTTTTGTGTTTGTGCTGAGACGAGATCAATTCTGAGGGATCTCAAAGGTAAACCCTAATTCCTCCTTGTAGGGTTTTAAAGGAATTTTTTTTATATTTGATACATACGCTATCAACAACTCTTGAGATTTTGTTCCAACAAGAAATACCTGAGTTAAATAAGTTTATTCTACAAAATTGATCAAAAATCTGCAATGTGATATTCTTTAGATAGCAAAGTGTCGTAGTTTTCTTCTTAGACTCTAAATGATTTATTCTTAAGCGAACTTCCACACTATTTAAACTTGGATGAGACACCCCCATGCTGATTGATGTATTTTGATTTATAATAATATAAAATGTGATTATGATTTGGTGTCTTAGCGACTTTAAATATTCTATTCTACTATTAGTGTTGCTTGTATTTTTGGAAGTAAAGGAGATGTGATAGCCTAGTTTGGATGTGTGGAGGTAAGGTCAACTTAGATATTTTTTAAGATGTACTAAGCTTTGAATAATAAGGTTATGAAAAGTTATGTGTGACACTCAAAAGTTATTGAAATTGAAGGAATATGGTGAAGTAACCTCACATGAGAACCTATTTTGAGAATAATTATTGGAATTATGGTTATAGGTTTTAAATGGATAGGAGGTTGTTTCATAACCACGTACTTGAGGTTACCAATATTAGTTTGAAAATATTATAGAATGTTGATTAAATTTATTTTGGAAGTATTAATGGCTTAGAAGGGTCACAAGTAGGATACTCATTGAGGATGATATAATTAGATAATCTTATTTTGTGATGGGTTTAGTTCACTACACTTATACTCTCTAAAGTATTAATAATCAAGAATCTCTTGGTTGAGTGTGGAGTTAATAGTTGACCTGTGTTTACAAATTTTGATTGGAAATTTGAGGTCGAGTCATGGAAACGAACTTATAGACATGTAAAACGGAAATCTAGGAAACCTGAAAAAGTTGTAGTAGTTATTTTTGACCCTAGATATTGCAGGATTAAAGATTATAGAAGTTTAAGAGCTCGAGATCAGATATAGCCGACAATTATTGAAATAAGGATGATATCTAAAGTTTGATATGTACTTCTATTGTTCCGTGGGATCTTATAATGTTATTGGAGTTGTGGTGGGGGAATATGAAGTTCTTTTTCCTATCTCTCTCAATACATTATTAAGATAGGGTTGAAGATTCAAACTTTAAAGTTAGTGGTGATAATTGGAAAGAAGTAATTTGAGGAATTCATGATGATACCATGCAAATTGGCTTTGACATGGTTGTAGAAACTTTATGTAATTTTTTTTAATGACTATGGTTATCTTACTAATTAGCAGATCATTATTATAATGAGGATGATGAATAATTACTAAGGCTATGATGATTAATGTAATTAAATTGAAGAACATTAAGTGAATCATTGGGAGCCTTGTTTTAGTTTTAATTATATCACAAGAAATTTGGTATTAATTAATTGAGAGATCCTTTGGGATCCTTGACAGTCTATCTTTACATTTTGGTATATTACTAGATATATATTGTACTAAATTGTATCATAGGGGTTCGAAATTATAGGTATCGTGAAAAGAGTTGTGATGTTAATGAAAACCACTAAGAATTGATTACATGGTTATTAATTCTAGCTCAAGATTAGAGATTGAGAATGAATACTTGGGAGATAGAAAAAATAATTGGCCTTAATCAAGTTGGTGAACATATATAGATATTAAGATTGATCTAAAAGTATGAATCCGGATACAAGTGAGTTATGAAGTGGATTGTAAAGATTATTAATTTGAGCTCAAGATTGGGCACTAAGAGCAAATATCTTGGAAATATAACTTGACCCTTAGCCTAAGTAGTCTAGTTGGTTAATTACTAAGATTTCCTATGAATGAATAAGATAGATTGTTAGTGTACACATTTTAGAAGTTATAATTGGAGGACAAGTCTCGTTAGGTTTCAATTGTACACTTTGGTAGAATCTAACATATCTTCTCAGAACTTTCAAACATATGGGAATTCTTATCTTGTGACTAGTTTTGATTAGTGAATTGATGGATTATAATTTATATCAAAGTGTACACTGAGCAATTTGATTAATGATTACAATGGTGAAGGTAAGGAGTATCATGAGAAATTGCAAATTGATGTGTAACCTAAGAGTTGATTATAGAATATTAACTTATGTGGCAGTGTTTTGTGAATTGAAATTATTGTTGATTTCAAAAATTGTGAATTCCTCTTGGTTAGTGAGAGACAAAGTCATTAAGAATGTTATATCTATTTCAAGAATTGATATAAATCTTACCGTAATGTTGTTACTAAATTTTGTGTTATATCATGATGTTAATATACTAAAATTGAGTAATCCTAATAGCGGAATTGCATTTGATTTGTTTTGATATGTTTATGGATAAGCTACATGTAAGAAGCAAACATGATGTTTATTGAAAGGATTGGTAAAATTCAAAAGAGATGTGATATTTGATGAGTAGACAATTACGTATTATGATCTAGTAGTTATGCATGGTAAATAATTAGTTGAAGCAATCATATATAATTATTGAGAATAAAGGTGATAAATGAATTCTAGTAAAGGAAAGTACTCTTAGGGATTTTAAGTAACTGCAATGATGTTATAAGTGGAAGGGATGAAATTAAAATTTGGAATATAATATTCTATTATGATCTTGTATTTGATGCTTAAAGGAATAATATGCATTGAAACCTTGTTGTCAATTCGAATTAGATAAACTAACTCGATGATTAAGTTTCGAGGATAAAATTTTCTTTTATGGGGGTGGATTGTAAGACCCCATGTTAAAATTAAAGAAGGATAATATTATCTTAAAAGTTCTATTAAGATGAATAATTGATGGTAGAAATTTAGAATCATTGTTAAAAGATTGATTATAAAACTTGAGTTTCGTGCGTATTTTTGTTCGGGGTAAATTGAGTTTTGAAGATATTTAAATTTGAGAAGGGTGATTAAGTAATACCTTCCATGATAAATTTTGGGCCGTTACATTTAGGATCTTTGACAAGCACCTTGGGCTTAGTTTCAACAATTTAGCACTTTTCTTCTCACAGTGGGTTTTTGTTGCAGTCAGGCAGACTCATCCATGTTTGTTCTTCGTACAAACATTGGTACCTTGGTGCTCTTTTTGTACGTTGACAATAGTATATTGACAGGCAATCAATCCTCTTTGTTAACTAAGTTTCTAGCGCCGCTTGGGCATGAATTTACCATAAAAGATTTAGGTGACATTCATTATTTCTTGGGTATTGAGGCAACTAGAAGTTCTTTTGGTCTTCAATTAACAAAAAATAAATATGCCCTTGATCTTTTGCGAAGAACTGGTATAATTGGATGTAAACCATGTTCCACTCCCATTTCTTCGGGTTCAAAAATGTCTCCAACCGATGGCACCCCAGTACCTGACCCATCTGAGTATTGCCATCTTGTTGGAACTCTTCAATATCTCACCGTAACTCGTCCCGATCTATGTTATTCACTTAATCAAGTTTGCATTATGTGTTATATAAAGGGTTCACTATTCGCTCTGGCTCTATTATGGTCCATACTTCTTAATTTGATGTCAATTGGGCCGGCTGTCCCACTACTCAAAGGTCTACCACAGCGTTTTGTATATCCATAGTACCTAATCTAGTATCATGGGCATCTAAGAAGTAACCCACCGTTTTCTTGTTCTAGTACTAAGGCCGAGTATAAAGCATTGGCTATCACCACATCTAAAATGAAATGGTTTTCCTACCTACTTCGTGATCTTCATATTACTCTTCACCACCCAATGCTTCTTCGTTGTGACAATCTTACTACTACACACATGACAGCTAATCTTGTTCTTTATGAGCGCACCAAATTTATTGAAATTGATTACCACTTTGTGTGTGATCTTGTAGTGGATGGTACTCTCTGTGTTCAATTTGTATACTTAGATTCTCAAGTTGTCGATATATTTACAAAAGGACTACCTGCTCATACTTTTCCCCCTAATATTTCCAACTTGTTGCTGGTTCCCACCAATGGTTTGCGGAGGTGTAATAGAGGGATAGCAGATCATGGTTAAGCTAATATGTTAACTTTAGGATTGGAATTCTTTAGAGTCCTACTTTATCTACAATAGCTATAGTCTATCAATTGTAAATTCAAACTCATGTACATTGATTATAATTACAATAGCAATAACCACTTATAGATACAACTTTTCAACCATATCAAACTCTTCACGTTTCAAGAGGGTATCATAAAGTTTTCATAAACAATCAATACACCAATACACAACATTGGAAATTAAGTTTTATAGCAATAGTATCCATTATACAACAATACATTATGTGAAAATTGTAAAAACTAACAATGTAATAATACAAACGTATAAAAAGAATGACATCGAAAAGACAGATAGTGTATTGTAAAAGCTAACATTGGAAATTAAGTTTTATAGCAATAGTATCCATTATACAACAATACATTATGTGAAAATTGTAAAAGCTAACAATGCAATAATACAAACGTATAAAAAGAATAACATCGAAAAGACAGATAGAACGAGATTTGATTTTTCTCTGATATAACTCTTTGTCATTTTCCTTGATGGTAGATCATCCCTAGTTATATATCGAGTCGCAATTGAATTCATGGTGTTTGAATTATATCTGGATCATCGAATGATAAAAACGCTCAATTTATCAAAAAGTGCAAATTAATCCCAATATTATCAAAACTCCATGTAATTGCCTACCATAGAGCTTCAACAATACTGATAGTGAAACAGATTGTGATGCCTCAATATCATCACTAGTGCCTTGGGGATCGCTGAAGTTGGAAGGAACTAGGGTATCTGGCGCAGATTCATCGTCGCCGGAAACCGGATTTGCCGGTGAAGGGGCGTCATTAGATGGGTTCTTCAGACTCTGCGGCAACCCTTGTCCATAAGTCACATTTATCTTGAAGTGCTGGCCATTTTTGCACTGATCTCCGTCGTAGTCGCCGGAGAAGAAATATGTCATTCCTACTTTCAAAAGAGGAACTGCCACAGAGATTGGTTGTGGGGAAGTGGCTGATGGATCTGCCGATGACCACTGTGTGGTATCGTTGTTGAGAGCATTTTGGTAATCACATCGCTTGTATGTGTTGAAATTGTATGTTTGGATGACTGAGTGATTATTGTCAGAGTTGAAAACTGCAATAACATAAACAAAGTAAAATCAACTTAAATTTTTTTAATGTAAATGTGGATTCAAGTATGACCAATTAGATACAAGTACGTCTCAATACATGATATGTGATTTACGACGGGTGAAAATATGAATTGCCGGAGATCTGAATCTAGAAAACAGAATTTACGTTCTTAAGCAAAACCAACTACATATGAATAGCTCTCCCACTAATACATGACAAGTGATTTTCACTCTTGAGGTAACACAGATTCAAATGAGACCGAGTCTATATAAGTTGGTATCTCGCCAATACAGAACATTTAACTTTACAGCCAATTGAGATAAAAATATACTGCAAGAGATTTGAATTGAGATAACACAATTTTCATTACTTTAAGCAAAATAAAGCCTTGAACTTAGTTCTGCAAACATTCATTCTTATAATAAAAACTTCTGCAGTAAAAAAGACTGAAATTCAGCATTTTCAAAACTAGACCTTAAAGAGAATTACAGAGTAAAAGATGATCATTTTGTTCTAGAGATTTTATACCCCATGGACAAATTCGTTTACTTTTTTTTTTTCCTTGATGTGCAGGCACAAAAGAGTGAGGTCTAAATGCGTAAATACTTGGTCGTTTAGTAGAAAAAAAATGGTCAAATTCATTCTTATATAATTATTTCGAGGGTGAATTCGTGCTTTGGTTAACTCAAAATTATCTAACTGGTCCAAGTTTTTAGAACACAGTTTATGTTTGCATAACATGTAAACAATATTTGACAGGTTAGATATAAGGGACTTAACTACAATACTTAGAAAAAAATTCGGTAATATACCGATACTTGTCACTTTTGTAGGTTTTTTTTATCATTATTGTAAGTGTTTTTTATCACTGTTGTGATTCTGAAAAAAATGATAAAAATAGTTATCACAACAATAATAAAAACACCGATAAAAATAATAAATTACTCACAAAAATAATAATTTTTTTGTATCAAAGAAAAATTATAAAAATAGTTACCACAAAAGTAGTAAAAATACCCACAAAAATAATAAATTTTATTATTGTAAAATATCCATAAAAATAATAAAATTTGAAAGTACGGAACCCAAAAAAATTTATTCAGTATCATAGTGAAATCCTAAATAAAAGGTACAACTATAGATTGGGGAGTTCAAATTTTCGATTACCTGTAAATTTTGATCCTACCCTACTCAACCATACTGATCGGCTATCCGAAAGAATCAGATAGGTCAACAGAGGATCTTTTGGTATTTTACAAAAAATCGGGTAGGAATGCATAATACTTATAAAGTTTTAGTATTCTTACCCTATTCCACTACATATATATGTGTGTGTGTGTGTGTGTTAAACTCTAAAAATTAGAATCCAAATTTTTCTTTTAACCTTAATGTTTTGTTGATGTTTATAACTTTCTTATATATAACGTATTGATGTTTATGACTTTTTTATTGTGTCTTACTGTAATTTTTTATGTATTATTAAATTTATTATTTTTTTTAGTGTTATTGATTTATTGTGTTAGTTAATTAGTGCATGCTACTTAATTAAGTTGTTAAAATGATTCAAAAATTAATAATTAAAAAATATGTATTCACCTGATTTTCTACTCAACTTTTTACCCAATTGGTTTAGACAAAATTTGGATAAGAATAATACATTTGATTAGATAAAATAGACCAAGAAAAAATATAAAATAACATAATTCTTATCATGGTAAACACCCCTACTAATAGAAAAGGTTAAGACATTCTTGAGTGTGTAATTACCAGAATGACCCTATTCACAATTCACAAATGTACCAACTATTTTCTGCCACTACAAATGTCCACTGTAAACGGGTACCTCATTTTTCAACAATAAATCATGATAGCTTTTGACTTCAAACTGACTTATCATTGAGTAGATAAAACATCATTGGAACAGCTTTGTTTGAAAATTGTAATAGCTGTCAAAACACATGCATTGTTGGAGTTCTTTCTTCCTTTTTTTTTTTTTTTTTAGTAATGCTACACTGATTAAATTTTGAGATCAAATTTATAATCTAAATGACATGATAGTTAATTATTTAAAATTTTTATTAGGACTCAAATGACATGACACCAATTAAAGAAGTCCAAGTCAACCGTCATGTCATTTGAACTCTAAATTTGTCTCAAAATTTGATCAGTATACCATTACTGTTTTTTTTTTTTTGGGTCAAACCACAAGGTTTTCCATAATTTTTTTTTATTTAAATTCACGCTGGTTTTTAATATATATTATATTTTGTAAATACACTTTCATATCAAAAAATGTGCATTCAAATCATGATTTTACAAAAATTAAGATAAAACTATAAATAAATTAAAAACTGCTCTCTAAAAGGAATAAAATTGATCATATTGCTGGTACATTTGGAATAATAAAATAATCCACTGTTTCAACTCCTTGTTTTCTTTTCAGTTGCAATCTCATGATTCACATCTATGCCATAAACATCGGGAATTGCATCACTAAATCTAGTTCAAAAAGTTCTAACCCATAATTAGCAGTTTACTGCATATATATATAGAAAGAAGGTCTTAATTCCAAACATTCCAAGCAACAATGAAATTGACCACTATAATGCTTCTCCTCATCTCTCTCTCTCTCTCTCTCTCTCTACTCATCACACACACACATATGTATATATATGAACATACATATAAAGCAACCCATTTTTGATGTATACAGTTTAAATTCTGTTATAGTTCAAGCATGTAACCCCCAGTTATCCAAGAAAAACACAAGGAAGGAAGCATGTAGAAACTGTGTTTGTGTTTGTGTGTGAGTGTGTGTGTGAGAGAGAGAGCTATAATTATGATTTGAGGTATGCTGCTGAAATTAATTCTTACAGAGGAAATCTCCAAGGCTGAAGTTCTTGCCAGCAACCCACTTCTGGTAATTAACACTAGGCTTTTCAAGATTATCAAACCAACCCAATGAGTCACCAACAGTGTAGTTCTTGTAAGCTCCAACAGATCCAGAGAAAGATAGCAGAAGACAGAGAGTGGAAAAGATGAAGAATACAAGGCCAAAACTGCAAGTACTGTGTCTCTGTTCCATCTTTTTTTTTTTGGGGTGGGGGGGGGACTGGGGGTTGTGAAGATTGCTTGTTCTGAAGAAGAATAAAAGCAGTACAACTACAAGAAGCTCCCAACTTTCTATAAATATGGAACCTTACTTTTCTGAGTAATTACCAAAAGGTTCTCACTTTCCATTTTGTACTAATATTATTTATACTTTGACCCCTTCTATTTTGCTCTAAGTCTTAGCCTCCCCACCTCGGTTATTGATTTCAACAAATTGCATAATAAACCAAATAATATCAATTTGTGATAGTGTTACACAAGTCGTTGAATTGTAGATCGATACAATATAGTCATTGAATGATTGAGCCTGCACTGTGTTCAAATTGATGATTAAGAGGATAAGGTAACGGTTAGATTAAAAATGATAGTTTAAGGGGGGCAATGTGTAATTTACCATTGCTATAAATTACTGGCATGATTCTGGGGTGTGCCCGTGGAAGTTAGAATTTTGATTCCAATTGGTTAAAAAAAGCAAAAACTAATAACTGTAATTGTGCATATAAGAATCTAATCATATATTACATAACCATATATGATATATTAATTTTTTAATGTCTTGTGTATACGGACATTTGACATTTCTATAAAAACACCGCCACTTAAATTTAAGGTAATATAACTCTTTGTCCTGGTCTGGTCTAATTTAATAAAAGTCATTTACACCGGAATTAAGATATTAATGAGAAATAAATTCTTCATGCTCTGATCTTAAAAAATTGATAATATTCAAACCCATAACATTTGATTTTATGTTTCTATTACCACTTCAACATCTCTTTGAATTTAATGTTAAATACTAAGACACACCAATTAAGTTCGGACATGCTTTACAAGGATTGCTAGATATTTAACATAGGATTTTGGTGCTATCTTAGGGTATGAGTCTCCCAACTTGTGACTTGAAGGTAATTATTTCCTCTCTCCTCTCATGCCCTGTTTGGTAGGAATGATGAAAAGTAGAAAAAATATATTTTCCTATATTTGTGTTTGATTGGATGAATGAAAAATAAAAATAATTTTTTTTTTTTGTGTTGATTAAGATTAGGGGTGACAATAGAATTGAATCGAGTCATGTCATATCAGATTTGAGTTGAGTCATTACGAGTTTGTGTCGAATATTAGTTAAACTTAACTTAATTTATTTAACTAATTGTGTCGTATCGAGTTGCGAGTTAACCTATTTATTTTCGTATCGAATTCGAGTGGTGTCATCGTGTTGATTCGAAAATTTTTATCCTTAGTTAAGATGGAAAAAAAAATTAACTTAAAATTTTTATTTTTTTAATTTTTAAATTTTTTAAAATATATATACATATTTTATCATTGTATTTTTATATGAAATTAATGTATACATAAAATATATAGACAAATAAGATACATTTCAACACAAATAATTAATTTTTCATCTACTTTCCTTCATATTTTGGAGGGATTGATTTTGATAAGTTGGAAGAAAAATTAATCCATCAACTTTTTCATCCTTCTTACTTTTCTTCCTTACCATATATAATGTTTTATTTATCCCTCCAATTTTTCATCTTTCCACTTTTTCATCGTATCAAACGGAACATTAACATCCCTTCCGCTATAATGATATTATGTCCCAAAAAAGATACTTAACCCGACTAGGTTTTTTTATTTAGGCTTGTACCGTTGTATAGAAGATGAATACTAAAAACCTTCTAAGCCATTTATGATTGTAATAACATGCGACAAACACATAGATAAGATGGAATAAAAACGACGTTCGCACTAATGCTTGAGATTACCGCCATTCAAACTGGGTTTATCAAATTACTTTTTTTTTTCCCCTTGGAATCCAAAGAAAGAGCATTTGCATAAATTTGAAACAAAATGAGATAAGCAAAGTAATGAAACAAGATGAATGGCAGTATCGCAAATGTACTTTATTGCAATGGTTTTCCTGCAAGCAACTTCCATGAGCTGTGAACAACACAAGTTTCTGGATGGGACACACTACTTACACTGGTTAAAACATACATAATTACTATGGTGTGAGTACACATAGATAAGGTTTTCTTAGTGCTTTAACTCCCTTGACCATTTTTAGAGTAAATTATATTTTGACCCCCTAAATTACCACAATTCTTACATTGAACCTCAAATCGTGGTCATTGGTTTTCATACGACAGGCAAATCGTTTCTTGTTATCCTCGTGTCATGTTATATTAGACTGTGTCATTTTGGTCCATCCCATATGCAAGTCAATATTAAACTATTAAGTTATGAAATAATATATACAACATTGCATTAGGGAAAATAGAGAAAAATACTTCTTTTCTTACAATACTAGGTAAATTGGTCACTCATGTTAATATACATACTAACCTAGGTCATGTGTTATCTTCGCTTCAATTGATAAAATTGACACGCTTAATTGGTTTCACACTATTTCAGTGGTAGGCATTGAAAAAATTGCATTTTACGATAAAAAAAAAAATGCCATTCGTATCTAGTCTAGAGATTTAATACAAAGATCTATTAAATTATATTTATTGAATTAAACCGAGCTTCATTCTACTTTAAACTCATTTAATCAATCTGACAATTACAATGAATTAGGTCTTTATATTCAATTTTTATAACATTGATCTTTACCGTGTTTGTGGATATTTTTTGTCAGAAACATAAGAAACAAATTTGTTTTGAGCCATTGTGAAATTAATTTAAATAGTTGAGTGAATAATACGAGAAACTCACAAGTTGAGTTGACACAGTCGAATTGACTCAATAATCAAGAGGGTTGAAGTGCAATTTGACCATATTTCACCTGGACAGGTGGGGAATGGAAGTTTGTGTCGGTGGTATTAAAGTTACATCACCATCTGCATGACATGTGATAATAGCTGTATGATTGCTTTGCTTTTTCTCTTTGGTTGGGAAAGTGAATGATTACTTTTGTCCTACCTGCTTGTGTTGAAGTGACGACAAGCTGCGTCGTCTCTCACAGCTTCTTAAATTCTAGAGACGTATATATCCTTCCAACCCCATAGAAGACCATTGAAACAAGCTACTTCAAGTGGCGATATAAATATATTATAAATTTAAATATTTTGAATTTAAATTTTAATAATATTTTAAAATTAGATCATGAATAATTTATCACTCATAAATATTTTAATTTCAACATAAATATCATTCTTTTAACAAATCAAAAAGAAGATTAATCGAATTACAGATAAATTAATTCGAACGTCCTAATCATTTAAAAAAAAGGCACACGCATCATCTTTGACATAGCTAGAGTATTGACGTGTACATCAAAATATTTGTCAAATGATTGTGGGTAATTGAATTATTAGATTTTATTGGAAAAAAACTTTATTAAATTAATCAACAGATCAATCAATTAATGTTCATTTGATATTGAAAATTTTAATAAACATCTTGGTGGGCATTGCAATGTTCGCCTAGTTATGTGATTGATTTTGTTTCTCCTTTCTGGACATAATGACTTCAAAGAAAAGTTATGAGCAATATTAGTCGAGTGATTAAAATTTTCATTAAATCTTGTTAAATTTTGTGTGTCAAACAACATAAATAGTTATATCAATGGATTGGATTCGAGTTGAATTCGGGTTGGTTCAGCTAAGTTGTACTCCTAATTTTGTCACGTCATATAATATATAGCATTTAATAAACATATTTGGCATACACAATTTTATCTAGTTCAATGGTGACATATTTGACAAGTAATGCATCCTATTGGACATCAATAGGAGATTCAAATAAGACATTTAAGACTTGTTTAGGATGTGGGTTTGGGTGAGAATTAAAGAGTGAGTTTTGTGAAAACTAGTTGATGTACACAAACGTAGCACACGAATCATTTCGAGTTATAACTAACTCTAACTAATTACAAGTAACTATTTTGCTAGCTCAGCCTAGCTAATCTCTAACCAACTCAAGTCTTCTACTTCTATCCTCGCACATTTAACACTATTCTGCTACACTGTTGCACTGCGTCATTCTAAGTTGCAACTGCATCAATAGTCCAGCATCTGCATCTCTTTCCTTATAATGCTAACAGCTTCATTGTTCTTCAACAGTCCCCTTCAAGATGGAGAGTGAACACTTTGCTAGAGAAATGTGACTGTGGATGAAAGTATTGGGGATTTGTGAATCGTGTTCGAGGGCTGTTGGCACAGGTGGAGCATCAGATTTTACATGTATTTCGTGAAGCTAACTGTGTACCTGACAGTCTAGCTAATCAGGCAATCAAGGAGAGGAGATCATCTGAATTTTCTAGTGGTGGAACTTTGCCATGTGCTGTAAAGCTTATACTGTTACAGGACCAAGAGTAGATTCCTGTTTTGAGGGTAAGTAGAGGAATTATCTTTGATGACCATGGATAATGAATGCTCTGTTGCTGATACACTGATTGGGTGTGTTGGGTTGTTGGCTTTGAAGGAGTGTGAGGTTTCTGCCAAAAAGTAAAGAAGATTTCCTTCTAGGCATTTTGAAGGATTAAAGTCAAAATGTATATTGGAAAGTTGTATTGTTTGATTCTTGTAAATTCTTCTGGTTCTTGTAATTTTTGTTTCAATCTATAAAATTTCTATATTTTCTAAAAAAAAAAGTGATATGAAGGGTCTTGAGAATGCTATGCTGGATTTTATCACGAATGAAATGACAATCAAGCTCAATGTGTTTCGGTTTTTTCATGAAAAATAGGGTTAGCTGTCATACGTAATGTGGTCTTGTCATCACAGAAAAGTAAGGCAGGGATAAAATGAGAAATCTGAAGCTCTTAAGGTAGTGCAATGACCCAAGTGATCTCACAAGCAGTAGCTGCCATGGCCCTGTATTCAGCCTCAGCTGAAGAACGAGAGACAATCACCTGTTTCTAGGATTTCCAAGAGATTAGAGAGTCTCCAAGAAAAATGCAGAAGCCAGTAACAAACCTGCGAGAGTCTAGATAGCCTGCCTAGGCTGCATCACAAAATCTTTTGAGATGAAAAGGAGAAGAGGCTAGAAAGAAAAGACCCTGTACGAGATAGACTTTGAGATATCTGAGAACTCTGAATGCTACATCAAGATAGGGTTGTCGAGGCTTATCCATGAATTAAATCAAAACTTGCACAGCAAAGGAAAGGTCAGGGCGTGTGAGAGTCAAGTATAATAGTCTGCCTACCATTCTTCTATAGATAAAAAGATCTAGGAGAAGAGAACTAGTATCTTTTGAGAGCTTGAGGTGTTGTTCCATGGGATAATGAGTTGGTTTTGAACCAAGGAGACCAGAATCCTAAAGTATTTCAAGAGCAAATTTCCTTTGACAAAGAGAAATTCCCTTGGAAGATCTTGTAATTTCAGGTCCCAAAAAAAACTTTAAAGGACCAAGATCATTAAGACGAAACAGGCTATGAAGAAAAACCGTAAGTGTTGCAGGTGCATTAAGATCATTAGTGGCAATGACAAGATCATCCACATAAACCAAAAAATTTATAAAACTAGAACCATTGGTCTTACTGAAAAAGGAATAATTTGATTTGGATTGAGAAAACCTACAAGCAAGGATAGCGGTGGACAATTTGAAAAACCATTGTTTAGAGGCCTGTTTAAGACCATAGAGAGATTTGTTTAAATGACAAACCAAATGGTCCCCCTTAACATCATAACCAGGCATGAAGAAAAGCACTGTGGACATCCATTTGAAACAAACGCCAACCCCGAATAGCTGCCACAACCAAAAGACACCTAATAGTAGTAAACTTAGCCACTGGGGAAAAGGTTTCAACCCTTCTTGCTGTGTGTATCCCTTAGCAACAAGCCTAACCTTGTACCTTTCAATTGAGCCATCTGCTTAATTTTTGATTTTATAAACCCATTTACAACCTATGGGCTTTTTACCTAAAGGGAGAGAGGTGATAGTCCAGGTGTTGTTTGATTTAAAAGCTTGAATCTCAGCCTGCATAGCCTCACGCCACTCAAGAAGTTTAACAACCTCATGAAAAAACTGAGGTTCTTGTTGACAGGAAACACTAAGACTAAAATTTATGTGGAAAGGAGATAATTTGTGTAAGACAAAAACTGAGAAAGAGCATGAGGAATACCTAAAGACTAAGAAACAATAACCATGGAGATAGAAGGGGATGTGTGAGAAGAGAGAAGATCATAGTGGTCATCTTAGAGATAGCTTGGAGGCTTCCTAGTTCTGATTGACTGTCTAGAATTACTGGAAGTAGAGATAAGGATTGAAGAACGAACAACAGAGGAAGGATCTGAAACACCAATAGAATCTGGGACAAAGACAGAGGTAGGTGCTGGGACAAAAGAAGAAGGACTAGGATCCAACACATTGTTTTCCCATTGTTGTAGTTGCTCAACTCGTCCCATTCATATTGATGGCTTAGTATTTTGGAGCTCTTAGGCTTATATTTGGAGCTCTGGTGACTCTCTTTAATGGAGCAAGTGGCTCCTCTTTGTTGGAGCTTTTAGAGCCCTCGTCGCTCCTTGGCCCTCTAATCCATTCATTATTGCATGATTTATGAAGGGTTGAATGTATACAAACAAATTTTTTTTGTGACTCAAACTCTTAACGCTCAAGTCACGACAAAATAACATTAAAGTTTCATGATGACCCACCATTGTAGAGATCCCTATAAATATTTAAATATATATAGATATATGTTATGGAATAATCTAGATTCCTGATTAATGCTCAACAACTGGTTGTGCAACTTTTGTTTTTAACCATTTTCTAGACCTTTGTTCATAATTCCTCTCACATTCATTGATCCAAAATTTTCAAATCATGACTCAAACAGTTTCTTATAATTAATGCATGGTTTTGACACACATAACCACCATACATCTATGCACTTTGGCTTAAGATGCAGAATAGTTGATAGCAGATTATTTGGAATATGTAGACCGTCGCGTCTTTAAAGCGCAACGAATGACCAAAAAGTGATAATAAAGACAAAATAATTTAGACCCGCAATTCAGTGGAACAAATGATATTTGATTTGGATCAAGCCAATGATAAGATTCATCATTTTGTCATAAGTTCCGTCATTTTTAAATCAAATTCCATCTTTAGGCCATTAACGCCCAATTTTTTCATTTTAGAGAAGAATTTGAAAAGTAATAATAAATCATAGAAAATTTTGAATTCAATATCATTAGGTTTATTAGACTCCAAATGACATGTGTTTTTATGTTAATTAGTTAAATTATAATTTTTTATTTATTAAAAATTTATATAATTAGAGATTTTGCCTTTATTATTGAATGATTAAGGTTGTGGTCGTTCCCATTAGGGGTGTTCATGGGCCAAGCTTGGCGGGCGAAATTATTTTCGAACCGGGCTTGGGTAGTGTAGACCCAAGCCCTTACCCAAGTGAGTTATCGAGCGAGCGAGCCAGGCGGGGCCGGGTTTTGGGTAGGGGTAGGCTACTCACGAATCTATTGAGTGGACTTGCTTGCGGGTTTTTTTATATACAACTTTATTTAAAAATAATGAATATTTTTGTAACTTAATATTTGTGTAAATTATATATTTGAATCAAAAGTAGAGTTAAAATTGATAAAAATAATTAGGAGACAAATTGCATCCAATTGAATGAATACAACACAATTAGGTTGATACTTACTCACTTATCTATCATTTGTATTACTACATTCTTTAAACTTCTATGCTTAATACATGAAAAATAAAATAATATATTATTTATAGTATCTAAATTTTTAAAACTTCAAATTCTGACATCGACAGACTTATTTCAAAATTTTAAATTTAATGGTTTAAAAATATAACTTTTTTTTCAATCAGTGGGAGGGTCAGGCTTGATAGGTGGGCTCTTGAGCTGGGCAATGGATTTGAGGGCTAATCCAAAATCTTCTTTTTAAAAATATTGGGCTCAGACTCGGACAGATTAACTATCGAATTTCAGACCTATTTTTTTCAAGTTGGATAACAGGACCCTTGAGTAACCTGGCTCATAGACATCCCTAATTCCCATATATATTGTCCACGAATTATTCGGTCAATGATATGTCTCTTTCAAAATTATTCTATTTTTTGTCTGTGGATATTCAAAGTGTGTTCTGTTACACTTAAAAACGATAATTTCTTCGTGTCCTTCATTTATTCTTGTTCACCCAAATCCAACGTAATATGTTAGATCGTCATTGAATAATATAGTCGATTCTTAAAATTTTAAGATTTATCCGAAATGGATTTTAAGAAGGGTAAATTACACTTTGGCCCCTTCAACTATGATACTTTTTTATTTTGTCCTTGCAACTATTGCTCTCTCTCAACTACTTTGATTATTTTATTTTTTTCTAATCACAAATGTTTGTTATCTTTTTTGATGAAAATTGTTGTTGTATCAAGGCAAAGTGAAAAAAATAATAACTTTTCATGAAAGATGAATGGACATTAATAAGTAGGATAATGTGAAACTATACATAGTTGAAGGTACAATGTGAAATTAACTTTTAACTTCAACACTAGAGTAATTACAGTATCACACTGAATTGCACCTTACTAGGATTCAGTAATGCTTATCGAGTTTTTTTTTTTTCTGATCAAAAACAAGCAAGACAACCATTTCATTAAGTTGAAAAATTGAGATTACAATCAGTCGGAAGAGAAGTCTTAAGCTCGGGAGGGGGACCCTAACCAATCCGTTGAAAGTGAGTTGTTTAGCATATTGGCCGCCACCAATGAGCAGCCTTGTTAAGGGTCATAAGCTTGTATAAAAAGTTAAAAAGCCTTGTTAAGGGTCATAAGCTTGTATAAAAAGTTAAAAGTTATATGACCTAACAAAATGTCTAATATCTTCCATAATTATACTAATTTTCCACAGGAAACATCCTCATTAAAACTTAACTTAATAATGTTAAGGCAGTCATTAACAATCTGAGTGATCAGCTGGGCTTCAGCGAGCAGGCAAGCCTGCCTTACTGCATCAGCCTCAGCCAGCAAAGATGAATCAGCAGAGAAGACCTTAGCACTTCCGAATTCCAGCAGGCAAGCCTGCTTATCAAGTTCACTACCTGTGTATGTGCTACTACAAATAAAAAAAAACCAGTCAGACTCGGTTGTCATTTTCAGTGAAAGCAGAACATATGTTTGATTCTAAACTGTCAATCAAAATTTATGCTGAATACTATCTGTACATGGAATATCAATTTCTTGTAGCATGAACGACAATACTAAACCTTGGACAAAGAGGAATACATCCAAGCCGTACATGTGAAAATACAAACCAAGGAACAATTTTCCAATGGAGAGAGAGAGAGAGAGATGGATGAGGGATACACAAAATATGGAATAAGGGAGACAGAGAGCGGCAGATGGAATCTTATATCCATCTCAGTATATAAATAGGTATCCTCATAGTCATTATGTCCACAAGGCAATTCATCACTTCACAACCCATTTGCCTCTGCTTCAACTTTTCAAATAATGGTTGTTTCTCTCTCTCTCTCACACTCACACACACTCATTTTTTTATTTTGGTTTTTTATTTCAGGAGGGAAAGAACCCTTATGAGACAGTGAGGCCATGGAGCGAGAAACAAGGAGGATTCAGGGCTTGTACATTTGTTTTTGGTAAGAATTCATGTTAATAGTCGCAGAAAAAAATTACAAACAGAATAGATAGTCTAACATTGCAACAGATTACGCTATCAAAAGAGAAACTTTGTAAAAATTACAACTATCTTTGGCTAAACTGCAACTTTTGGAGCGTAGTTACAGTTAAATGGTGTTAACTATAGAAAAAGTTACAATCGCCCCTAAAATGTTGGAATTGACTGTTAAAAAAAACATATTTTACAACATTTATACAAAAAATATATATTTTTTAGTACGATAGTCATACTTGTTATAGTTATATGAAGTGGTGTGATCGATATGTTTATTCCTCTTTTTTTTTTTTTTGGCAGTGTTGGGGGTCTTGGAGAACATAGGATTCGTTGCCAACATGTCTGTTATGGTTCTCTACTTCAAGTTGGTGATGCACTTCGATCTGTCAACTTCTGCAAATACTTTAACTAACTTCTTGGGTTCAACTTTCTTGCTCACAATTTTGGGAGGTTTCATCTCAGACACTTACTTGAACAGACTCTACACATGCTTAGCCTTTGGATTCCTGGAAGTAGTGGTAAGATATATCTTGCATACTGTTTGGTAACGTATTTTTTAAAATAATTTTGTTAAGGAAAAAAAATTGATAAAATAAGATCATGTTTATACATACTATTTTACAATCGTGATTAAATTGTGTCTTAGTATATGATTAACATACTTATATCTACTAGTTGATGTATACATGCGTTGCATGTGAGCCATATTAAATATCAAATAACATATATTACTGGAGCAAAGATTACATAATATTTATATTATTCAAATCATCATAAAACATGAATGTAGAAAATTATAATTCTAGTGTTATAATTATTTACACACCATATTACGTTATGGATGTGAATATGCTTAAGAAAATCATTTTAATACTTCAAAACCATGAAAACATGCAACATGCCTTTGTCGTTATGAGATATTACAATATCTCATGACACATTCAATATCACATTCTTTTTCTCCTACACATGCAATAAAACAAATTTGTAGATCCTAAACTATGGACACGTGCATACTTAAATTATTGAAACTAACAGTGTTGCCTAACCAAATGGAGCCCAAAAAGAAATTAATAGAGATCATATGCATGATCACTATCGAAATATAATATTTGCATCATAATTTCTTTATCCTTGACTCATTTATCCATTCCATCTAGAACGAATCTATTTAACTTGAAACTATCAAACCAATGTGGTTGTATAAGAGTCGATGAACCAAATTTTCACAAACAATTACTATAGGGATTTGTCATGTCAATTCTTGTACACTCCTTACTTGCACAAATTCTACAATATTAAGTGAATCTTTAAATTGGAAAAAAGCTAGAATTAAATAAAAAAAAAATTTAGATGCAACCCATATGTCTAAGTAGTTTATGACATCTGACAAAAAAAAATACTACATGCACTATAAATCAGAATAATAAGACCAGAAGCTATTTAATCCAAATAACCCAAAATTATTGTATGTACACAAAGAGGAAAACCCAAAAAAATATCGCAAATAAGAAACAAAGATAGAGGGACAAACAATAAAAGCAATTGAAATCGAAAAAATCGTGGGAACTGTGCCGTTGAACCAAAAACAAAGGTACCAACCCAAGCGGTGTGAGAAACATATACATGCCTAAATCCAAACACCATCACTAACAAAAATACACCCTTGTTTGAGATCTAATGTCTTTAGGTTTAGATTATAACCACTATAACCTTTGTGTACCGAGGATGAGAAAAAACTACGATAAAAATACAAAATCAATCGGTGAAAATTATCTAACCTATAACAATTCGAAAACCTAATTTGATAATTCATTAAAATAATGGTTGTAGTTTTTGTCAGCAGCTGCAAAAGAGAAGACGAAGTTGATGGGTATTTGTTGGTGAGGAAAATATCTGATGGGTATTTTTAGTGACCTCTTAGCCCTTTTTAACGTTAATCGAGAGAAAACTTTGATAATGGCCAAATAACTTCCACCCCTTTTTTTTTTTTTGTAATGGAGTTACGAAACTCCAAGAGTTTCAATAACGATAAGGTTTCCACAATTTAAGTGATGTTGTAATTTAACTCATGCAAGTAACTTAATTAGGTTGATGAAAAATAGTTGTTAATAGCTCAATAAAAAATTAGTACAGTAGATAGATTAATTAATTAATTACGATAATTAATCTAGTACTAATTTAACTTTATACAATTGTTTGAGGGTAATGATGACATTTTTTTTTGATTTAATAACCTTTTAAGAGTAGTATAGATATAAATATGGATATAGATATATAGTATAGATAGATAGATATATAGAGGAAAATGAACAATCTTTTATAAGTTGTGTTCCTCCATCTATCTTGTTTCATAAACTAATAATTTAATGGAGAAATTAGAAAATGAGGAGTATGTTATAAATGATAGTAATATAATAAATAAAAAGTGCATTGTATTGTCTTTATAATATATTTATTCATGGTAGTTTAGATAATTAAGAAATGTTAAAGGGTAAAAGAAGAAAATGAAAGTTTTTCAAAGATACATACTTTTTAAAGTAGTATAGATTTAATATTAAGGCTAATAAATTGAATTGCATATTTATAAAGGCACAACCATAATTGAGATTAATCCAACATTCTAGGGTTAGCATTGTTTTAATGAAAATTCTCTCTCTCTCTCTCTCCAATGCAGGCATTGCTGATGATTACAATCCAAGCCTATTCTAATAAGTTGCATCCAGATCCTTGTGGCAAGTCTACTTGTGTCAAAGGTGGTGAAGCTGTCATGTTCTACACCTTAATCTGTTTGTTAGCATTGGGTGCTGGTGGACTCAAGGGTTCTATTGCAGCACTTGGTGCTGATCAGTTTGATCAGAAGGATCCAAAGGGAGCTAAGGGTCTTGCAAGTTATTTCAATTACTATCAAATGAGTGTCACCATTGGATTCATCATTGGAGTTACAGGTGTTGTTTGGGTTAGCATGAACAAAGATTGGTACTGGGGTTTTTTCATTGGTTTAGTGGTTGCAGTTGTTGGTTTTGTGGTTCTTGCCCTTGGAAAGCCTTTTTACCACTTTCAGCCACTTGCAAGCAGCCCTATTGTTAAGATATCACAGGTCTCTCTCTCTCTCTCTCTCTCACACACACACACAGACTCGGTTTAAAGTCGTGGCATTGACCATCGACTCTGAAATGGCTCTAAGATGCATAGGTCGTGGCATCATATAGTGGTATTAGACGATAAGCCAAATACAAAATAAAAAAGTTGTACATGATGAGAGGCTCATGCCAAATTGTAGTGTCGGGACGATATTGATCAATTTGATGAGATGACTTCCACAACTCAAATTTTTTTCAAACGACTTGATTGAATTGTGTGAGACTCATGTTTACAAGAAAAATAAAATGCATGTGCTGAGTCAAATATAACTTTTGGCCAAATCATATTGGTATCGGCCAATAGTTTGAACCTTTCTTTCTTTATCCCTACCTTTGTGAGGCTTTTATACGACACCTATTGGTAATTCAGGTCATTGTGGTTGCCATCCGAAACAGAAACCTGTCACTATCACAAAACCCTGATGAATTATACGAGATTGAGGCCAAAGATAGAGACCTTTCAGAGAAAAAATCTCACATTCTGACCAATTCAGGTAATGTTGTCAACAGATAATTAAAATTTTGTAGTGCCAATCAAAGTATAACACTACTATCTGCATAACAATAAGAATTCACTGTCATTTTTGAATTCGGGTCATGTCAAATTATGTTAGTATTTGTGTTAATGAGTAAAATTGATACCACTACACACAGATAATCTTGAAGTGCTTGATTGTAACAACTGAGTTCAAAATGTAAATTAAACCAGGTCACTAGACAAAGCTGCAATTCTTCGAGCAGGGATGAATCCAGAGCCATGGAAAGTTTGCACAGTGACACAAGTTGAAGAAGTAAAATCCTAACAAGAGTGTTACTGATACAAGAGGATCCGAGTCAGATGATGCTGAGTTATCAGATGACACGTTGATGGTGCTGAAATACCTTGAGTTAGTAGATCAACACAGTCAGAAATCCAAGTCTAAGAAGGGTTGACACTGTTTTGATCATAATTTTTGATTTATTTGGAGTTTTGGGGCCCATAATATATCAAATCGAAGCTCTCGATGAGCCCTACAAAAGTCACTATCTATGGTAGTGAGAGGCACAATTTAAAGCCAAAAAATGCCTAGAAACGTGTGTTTGGGCCTTCCGAAGTTGTTTCCCAGTTTTGAGTTTATTTGGATTTTTTTGTAATTTAATTATTCCTTGCGTAACTAGGGTTTTTAGCTTATTGTTTAGTATTTAAATGATGTTTTCATGTGTTTTAGGGTTAACCGTCATTATTCTAATTTTATAAAGATTGTGGCTACTTAGTCAGTTCTTTTTGGGCGATTCTCTTGTGTTTTTCGCTGTGAATTATCTGTTCAAACTAACCTATAGAATAATCACTATTCTGTCTGGCTTCAGCTACCCATTCTAGCCAGTACAATTATAATGAACACATGATTGGCACAATTACAAACCTTCTCAGTCCTCCAAGGCTACTTCATGGACCCCCATATAGGCTCTTTGAAAATTCCCACAGCTTCAATCCAGCAATTCCCCTACTCTTCATGTCAATCCTCCTCCCAATCTACGAGTTCTTCATCGTCCCGGTCGCTAGGAAAATCACTGGTCACCCCTCCGGCATCACGCAGCTTCAACGTTCCGGAGTAGGACTAGTTATCTCAGTTGTTTCAATGGGTATTGCCGAAATAATCGAGGTAAGAAGGAGAGATCAAGCACTCAAAGACCCTTTCAAGCCAATAAGCCTTTTCTGGCTGTCTTTTTCAGTATGGCATTTTTGGGATAGCAGACATGTTCGCCATGGTTGGATTGATGGAGTTTTTCTACAAGGACGCTCCCTCTGGGATGAGATCTCTGACTACTTCTTTCGCTTTAATATCTCTCTCTTTTGGGTACTTCTTGAGTTCTGCATTTGTGAATATCATCAATGCTATTACCAAGCAGATTACTCAAAGTAAAAAAGGGTGGCTTCATGGGGAGGACTTGAACCATTATAATCTGAATCTGTTTTATTGGTTTTTAGCTGTTCTTAATCTCCTCAACTTTGGAAACTATCTCTATTTGGCTTCATGGTACAAGTATAAATCTGATACTAAAGAACTCCAAACCGATTAGACGGCTTGGGATGGATCATCTACAGCTGTGGGAGAAGCTATACAGGGATAGAAAATTTGCTAAGAAAAAGAATTTCTCTTACTGAAGTTAATTTGTTGGTGTTGCATTCTGTAATGAAGCAGTAGAATTATTTTTTTTCCGCTGAGTGGGGGGTGTTCTTTGTTTGTAAGTTGCCTGAATGGCATTCATCTATTGCCTATGGTTTGTGAGGCCATGAATAATGGCTGATATTGTAATACCTGTCACAAAGCTATATCTAATTTAATTGTTTGGTGTTGGCGTTGGTTCATAGGTGGACTATTCTGGTTTTTTTTTTTATGTTTTTTTTTCATTTTGTGATTTAGGTTTGTAAATTAAATTATTCATGAATGGAGTATATTCAATAATATCTCCAGATGCTATTTTGTGATTTTCGGGTTTGCTCAAAAAATTAAAAGTAAATATCACGTTATAGATAATAATAAACACAATCACTCATTGCAATTATAAATAAAAAATCAAACAATTTTCTTATGGACGAAGAGTATACAACGTTTCAAAAGAGAATGTCTTCTTGAAGGAGAAGGTCGTGGAACTCATCTAAGGAAACATTGGTTCGAAGATGAAGTGTGAAGCAACCTGATGACTATTAGGAAGGACAAGGGTGCAATTTTATCAGAAAACCTACCTTGGGAAGGAATAAAACAAAACCACCCACCAAGTGAGCTATTGTGCAGCACAGGGACTAGCCTCTAACGACCAAAGATTTCAAAAATATTATAATTGACTTAGTGATTTAGATCGTATTAGGAAAGAATTAGGGATGAGAAAGGAAGAAGAAAGAGATGAGAAAAGAAAAAGAAGGGGATGAGAATAGAAAGAGAATTTTAGGAAGAAACAATATCAAGATTCAATATCAATAATCAATAATTAAAGTCTAGTCTCACAACAAATATGTATCCCTTATATATATAAGGAGTTCACAAATCCCATATATATAAGGAGATTACAAACTCTAAAATAAATAAATAATCATAATGACAACTAAACCCTTAAAAGTTAAAAGATAAATACTAAATTACTCTCATGATCAATCTAAAATATTTATCAAATTCCTACACGATCTCCATCATTCTCCTCTGATTGAAAAAAACTCTCCTCCGGAGAGTCTTCAAAAGAGAAGTACCCTAAGAGAGCAGGATGAATATGACATAATGCTTCATCTAAAATGAAAGAACCATCAACTTCTTTCTATCGTTCAGAATAAATACAAGAATCTCCATCTGTATGAACACCTACTAATAAAATATGAGGTACTGGAGTATCTCGATTAAGTAGCATATCCTCCAAATAAAAATATGGACTAATACTAACATTCAATAAAAAATTAAGCAAATAAACATTAGATCCAAACTCAAGAATAACAAAATAATTCTTATTAGGTTTAAACAAAAAGTATTCAATGGGACAAGATATCGATGACAAAAGAGTAACAATAATGCCCTAGTGCTGAAAATAAGAAAGTACATACTCGATTGAACACTTGACAATAGGCAAAGAATCAAGGTTAACACTCTAAAGTGGGGCAGAATCCATAAAAATGTCAACAATCTCAGGTAGAGAAGAATCCAAAATAAAATCAACAATCTCATATGAAGAAAAATCCACAACAATGCCATCATGATTCAAAATAGTAGACACAGAATAATCACCAACAGATTCTAATATAGATAACTCAATATGTTCAACATTTTGCATAGGAATCAACTGAATGGATGTTTCCTCAAGTTCAATGCTTAGTGATGATTCAACTTTTGGCTCCAATGAGGTAGGAAACATGATAGGATCAAAAATAATCTCATCACTAGTATCAATGTTCAAACGATTGAAAATATGTTTTGAAGGATGTAAAGCATGAGGGTCCAATGGAACATAAATATGGCTATCATTATACGGGTGTCCGACATTAGGTGAAACTGGAGACTTGCCCTTATTTTCTTCCATTTGCTGACTTGCAAGAATTTTATTCAGGTGGAAAAGTTGACTAGTTAATTCAAATAATTGGTTTTTCATCCCTCTATATTCTTCACGTAATTGACCGAGTGAATGTTTAGTATTGACAACTCTAATTTCAAAGATCTCAACCTTTTTTTCTAGGACAGTTTGAGCTTTTAAATGATCACTAATGATATTGAAGATTGATCCAGATTGACGTTGATGATGATTTTGGGAAGCATGACATTAGTAACTGTTATGTGACCTAAGTGTCCCAGAGTAGCATTCTAAATAATCTTCATAATAAAACTCAGACTTACTATGGACCTTATGATGACTCCGAGAAACTTTAGGAGTGGAATAGGTATAGTGATGACGTTGTGAAGAATTGTGAACTTGAGACATTCTTGATGTTGGATAAGTATATGAATAGACATCATAAGGATCATATAAACTCATGATTGACTTTGAAAGATGAGAATAACATAAGAATGAGTTTAAGAATGCAATTGATAATTACGAGAAGTGAGAAAACTTAAATAGAACCCTTAAAAATTAAAAGAAAATACTTAAAAGATAAAATATTAAATTACTTTCATGATTAATCTAAAATATCTATTTAATTCCTACACGATTTTCATCACTTAGGGAACCATTTAATCATGACAACGAGGACTATACTAACTTAGTGTATAGATAGACAAACTCTTGCCTCTTCTGGATAGACGAAAAATTGTATTCACAAAGAATTATAATCTTCTTCTTTCATAAGTAATATAAAGCAGAGAGAACAAAAGATTTCATTAAAGTGGACTAGCCTAACTCTTCATTTTAGTAAACCACTTATCCCCTTGTATTCTTACTTTTGTTATTGCGCACACACAGACACATTTCACTCATTCACACGACAGAATAGCTTTTCAGCTCTCCCATCTCACACTTCTCAGTTTTATATATCACCGGTCATCATGCTCCATTAGGAAATATATTTTGCATGTAACAAAGACTAAGGCTTGCAAAATTGATCTAGAAAGGTGTGAACATTGAATCTACAGAGAGGAGAAAGGCATTTATCTAAAGACTAATGTTATTGGGACATTAAAAATTGACATAATTTATTAACCTAATAATGTAGCAATGATGTAATCTGATGATACCTCAAAATAAATCCTAAATGCCAGCTCATGAGGTTAGCTCAGCCCAGGAGGTCAAACCAGACGAACAAAACTCAGAAGAACAGAGCTGGAGGTCCCTTCGAGATAAGCAAGGGCAATAACAACCAAGACAACAACTGAAAGATCACGAGAGGTTCCTAAAAGCGTTAGGAAGTTATAATCAAGGCACCGAATCTCAACCAACCAAGATCTTCTCCTAGAATTAGGGAGAATCCCACGAAGTAAGGGCAAGAATCTCGGCTAAGATCTCACTGAATAGGGAATAACCCTATAAATACTATGTAACACCCCCAAGGAAGGAGAGGAATCCTAGAGGCAAAAACTAGCCATTGTACTCTTGTAATCATCATTATTGAAGGACAAGGAGCAAGAGTTTCCATTAAAGAGTGGATTAGTCGAGCTCCCGAGCTGGTAAACTACTATATTTCTACTGTGTTAATTCTCCAACTCCCCGATAATTCTCAGAATCATTCACTCGAGTCTAGTAGCTCAGATCCTAACAATTCCAATATTGTTCTTTTCATTTACTCGTCATCACAAATTTGCATCACGTTGAAATACACCATCAGTTTGGCGCCGTCTCTAGGGACGACTGTTCCTATTACAAATAAAGCTGAATTTCCAGTGATTGATGGTATCAACGCGAAACATGAGTCAAAGTCAGACCAATCCTCTACGGATGCAAGATCAACAGGAAGCCGCAAATAACAGGCAACCCGAAAACGCTCAAGAAGTAAATCCCCCCATGGGGGGCCTTCCCATGAATAATGAGATGGAGGCCCTTCATCTTGTCAATAAACGTCTGATAAAACAGAACGAAGAACTCTTAAAGCTCCTACAATGCCCACTGGAGGCACGAATAACCCAAAGAGGCCAGAATAACCCACCACCAAGAGAGCAACCGCATCTTGACCCCCTTAGAGAATTTAATAAGGTAGGAGAGAATAGCCAGACCTTCGGACAAGAACCTCGCCTACCCCCTAGGAATGGACACAACGAGGAAGTGCAAAGTCAGTATAAGGAAGGAGAGAGGAGCGACTTCTTTCCTTATCAATAGGAGAGAAGAGAACACCACTGGGAGCAACGTTTCAAAGACATCCAGCAAGAGCTCAGCCAGATGAAGGAGGCAGTGAAGAGCAAGGCCCCAGTCACTATGGATATCTTGGTGCAGCAAACCGAATCCCCATTCACTACTGGGGTGCTGCACTTCCCTCTCCCACCTAAATTCAGAATGCTGCAGGTGGATGCTTTCGATGGGACAAAAGATCCCGTGGACCACCTCAACACCTACAAAAACCAAATGGAGTTGCATGGATATCAAGATCTAGTAAGATGCAGAGCCTTTGCTATCACCCTGAAGGGCTCAATCTTAGCATGGTTCAACAGACTCCCCCCAGCCTCGATTTCCTCTTTTAAAGAGCTGTCAATCTCGTTTATGTCCCACTTCATTGGAGCTCGAACCTATAGGAAACTGAGCTACCATTTGTTAAATGTGAAACAGGGACCTGATGAAAACCTACGGTCTTATGTCCAACGGTTCAACTCAGAATCCTTGAAGGTGGATGCCCCAGACGAAAAATTTGCTATTACAGCCTTCATAGTAGGTCTGGGGGTTCAGTCAAAGGACCTTATATTTTCTATCTTAAAGAACCCCCAGGCTAGTATGGCGAAGGTGCTCGCCAAAGTAGAAAAGTACATAAATGGTGATGAAGCGCTCCTCTCCAAGGTGGGGAGCTCTTCGTCTAGAAAGGAGAAAGGGAAAGAAGAAAAAAAGAGAGAACGAAGTCCCAGAAAGGAAAGAGAACGAGACAGGTCTCCAAGAAGAGACAGAGAGAGCGTTCCCCGAAGAGA